AATAATAAATCTATTAATTACAATTACAAAAAGTCATAAAAATGAGTGATTTGTACTAAGAAAAGGATTCAATGTCAATGTTGGAAATTTTTCATTCTGTTTCTCCATTACTGAGTTATTATTGTTTTATCGTTAATATCTGGAAGGTTTCATTATTCCTCGAGAAGAAAATGAAGTACCTATTGCATATTTATTTACCCAGGATTACTTATAACTCAGTAGGAGAGCATTTTGAATAATCGATATTACCCAACACATCCTGGAAAATTTCCAACTACATATAGATAACAGCCGAGGGTTTTGTAAAATTATTGAAAATATTAAGAAACTTTGTAAAAATATGAAAACTGCTTCAGTAGTAAAAATATTATAAATTTATATAAAGAATCAAAATACTATTATACCCTACTAGAGCCTATCTACGCTTATCATTGTTAACTTTCAAAAACAGAGTTCCGAGAATAGATACCTATTAAAAATTGAACTCGTTTACTATTTCCGATGGAATCCCAACTACGAACGCTGCATTATTTACCACTTCTTAAATTAGAAAATGTTTTTCCTCCTTGTCACATGCAGAAACGATCGATGAAAGGAAATCCTTCTGATGCTATACGTATTTTGAAGGGAGAATTTATTTTATTAGTAACACTGAAGGCACTAACCAATCAACACATCCAGGCTGAATATGATTTCATATTTTCCACCAAAAGCAGNGAAATCCTTCTGATGCTATACGTATTTTGAAGGGAGAATTTATTTTATTAGTAACACTGAAGGCACTAACCAATCAACACATCCAGGCTGAATATGATTTCATATTTTCCACCAAAAGCAGTAACCTGAACCAACATTAAACTCGAATAGCACTCACACAGCTTATAAACAAGATTACTATTGAGTGGAATCATTTTTATAATGAAAATTCAAGTGGGATTGAAGATGATAAAATTTAAATTTTTTCCTTATTTAATTGGCTCATCAGGAAAAAGGAACTTCATAATACGGTTTTTTAAAGAGTTGTTTCTTAACACAATTAAAAATTAAGAAAACACTGTCGAAAGACATTTGATTCAATTTACTAAAAATAATTGGATAAGTTGTTTTTAAAATATTCTACTTTTTATAATTTCTATGGTACCTTTTATCATTGAATTACAATTACAATAAAATTACCTAACTTTTGAAGTTTATCAATAACAATATTACAATATTATAAAATTTCGCAAAGAAGCATAGCCATTTTTGGCGTTTGTTCAAAGTTTTTATATTTTCCCATTAATATCGATATATATATTTTATATTGAACGAAACGATAAGGTATCACTCAGATGTGGTTCTAAAATGAATATAAGAATAAGTAATTTAAAAGAAAAGTCAAAAGATTCGGCAAAATGACTAACCATCAAAATAATATTTTCTTATTAGATCCAATTCTAGATAATTTCTAATACATTATAAATCCTAATATCAAAGCCTAACAAAAGTAAAATTATTACAATTTACACTTGAAGGTTAAGTTACATTAAAATCTTAGTATGCTGGAGCAATTCCAGTTAAAATTATAACTCAGCGATAACAGGTTAGTCGAGGAAATCATTCCTTTGGTTATTCTATCCCTTTATTTCACGTTGTAATGGCCATAGAAAGATCAGAAATTATATTTTTTTTAATTTGATTTTAAAACACCTCTACATTCTGGCGTACTAAGGAATTTAAAAACTACTTCAGAAATGGTATCTGTTGGTTCCTCGTCTACATTGTCCTGTGATTCAAAAAGTCTCATGTATTATTGATATTGATATATTCATCGTCGCAAAGAAATGTAAAAAAAAACACTTATATATGTAGTTATATTAATATCAACATTCTGATGGAGTTTCACAAAAAATTTTCAGTTCCAACCTGATGTTAAATCAGAAATTCAAAACGGAGGAAAAGTCATTGCCGACGAAGATAGTTGTGTTATTGCCGATTTAGCATCTGAATCACAGGAAGACACAACGGTAAATGTTCACATTTGTCTCAAAACTTAAGGTATAAGGCTTAAATTTTAGATTAAATTGTGTTACTGTTAAAGGATGAGTTGTACAGACTGAATGTGAATGAATTCAATTAATAGCTCTGTTTTGTAGGACAATACACATTTAGGTCTTGGTCGAAAAAGGGAAGGGTCTGAAGATTTTAAAAGCAGATTAAAAAAAGAGCTTGTTAGTCGAGATGGTCATAAGTGAGTAACAATTAGTATTTTTAACACTGTTATATTGCATGCTACGATAATTTATAAAAAAATACAACGTGTAATTATACAACACGCTACTGAAGTGAAACTTCTTCAAACACACAAACATACCGGCATAGGGGTTAAGGAATTGGTTTAATGGTATTATTTGTACACTGTGAATTTAAATTTTACACTACATGCCGGAGTTGCTTGTAACGAACGTTGCATTGAAGGGCGCTCACGGCTCAAGCGATCCCCACTACGAACTCGACTGCGTGGTCGAGTAGAGGGGGGACATCCGTTGCATGATTTCGTTACAAAGCAACTCGCATGAAACGAACTTATCCTACCGTGCGTAAAGAAGTTTCACTTCAAAAGAATGAGAAAATACTTTAGAAATAGTTTTTCGACATTATCGAAGATATTTCGTCCTTAGTATTCATCGATATTTCTTTTCAGAGAATTAGCAAAGAACACCAAATTTATTACTTTAAGTTTCATTAACCCCGAAATCGATAAGGCCTACCATCACCACATGGAAACTTTTTCGAGCGTTACCTTGCAATCATTTTTGGTTGTGAGATTAGCGACGGGTATAGCTCAATTCATTGTTCTTCCAAGGTAAAATTAAATTTTATGGGTATTCGTTTTTATCTACATGTCGATTGAAATACATAAATTATACATATAGTTAAGTTAAATGGGTCACATAATTTGCTTTCAAATGTAGCCATATACATTTCGTGATTATACAAATGGCATAATCTCGACTATTGACATTTTAAAACAATTCCAAACATAAAATTGTTACAATCGGAGTCATTCGTACATATTCAATATGTCCTGGCGTTTGTTCCTTCTTTTCTAATGTCTAATTTTCGACGTTCAAGCACTCATATGATGATATATCGGCGATTAAGAAAATGCTTCTTCAAAAAGCACACCATTTATTTTGTTGCGAAGTAAGATGTTTTCTTCTTTGTTCCTAAATGTTACGAAAGAACACCGCAAACTTTCGAAAAACTGTGGTGTCTTTCTTGAATGATAATAGAATATATTTCATTCCTGACAATACGTACTTTTAAAGATTTTCGCGTTGGTAATGTTCAAGAAAATATATCAGTTCAAACGTTTAAATAAAGGAGGTACCATGTTATAAATTAAACGGGCGTTGAATGGAATTAATGAACAAAATTGACATATGTAGATAAATGAAGAATATAATTTGATAAATTTCTGAGTATGTACGTGATTTATAGTGTCCGACCGAAAGTTCAGTTTCGGTTTCGGTCGAGTTTCGGCAAAAAAACGAGTTTCGGTTTAGTTTCGGTTTCGGCGGCAAACCTGCCGAAACTACGACCGAAACCGNATTTAAACTTGCCGAGATCATGATTGAATTAATTATTCGGTATTAATTTCAGCTAAGAATTTATTCCTTATTAAATAGTCAATGCGCATAATTACTTTTCAATTTGTTCAGTCATACAATTTTCTCAAAATTGTCTCATCTCGCTTAAATTTATTCCTTCGTCGCTGGCGTAATTTGAGTCTTACAAGTCAATTTGTACTCAAGCAAGTGTTCGGAGTTGAACAAGAAAATTTAATTTTCGTTCAATTAAATTCTACTGATGATTGTGCCGTTGGATACTTCTGATGCTAGACAGCAAACCTGGAAAAAGAAAATAGAAATTTTGTAGAATTATTCATCATCACAAGTTTCTGGAAAAGGGTTAGATGCGCAGTTCAAATACTTCTTCATTTCCTGAACCAATCATCGCATTTCCCGAAAACTTAAATATTCCACGTCCGCATTACTATTTGCGAATAGTAATCTAATCTAGGCCTTCCTTTGCCCTTCTTTAATCCTTCCTGCTTCAAAAGGTGTGGTATCTCTTTTTCCAATTAATACCTCCTGATCTATCCATGATACTTGTATCATCAACACTATATCTCACACTTTTTATTTTCCATCGTTCGGGTTTTGCAATTGTACAGAGCCGCTCTCCAAGCATACACTTTTGTTAATCTTTTTCGAATTTCCGTTTTAAAATTCATACGTTGTGATACTTCACTTATACCTATCTTAATAGGTACATTGTTTCGAATCTTGACTTCATAAAATACCGATTCGAAACACTTTATTTTCAAAGTTTATGTAAATACTTATACTAAAAACCCAAAGTCGTGAAATTAGCATTAACGTAAACTTCTGCTTTTTCTCGTTTGATGTGAAGTAGAAAGTAAGATTTGACCTAGATGCTGAAGGATGGGCAGGTTTTAGAGGGTGCCATTTATTCTTTTGACGGCGATAAAAAATACGTGTTGTTTATCTTAGTCACGCTTCATTTATTTTAAAGAATGACTACTTTTAAAAACTGTCACGAACTCGGTTATCGACCTAAACATAAATAACAATTCTCTATTTTCTATTTTTAATGTTGCCCATGCTCAATTGTTCTGATAAATGATACTGAAAAAGATTTAGACTTCCACATACAATTTGAAGAATAACTTGTATTTAATTTGGTTTGAAAGGAAATTTAAAAAAACGAAATTTGAACAAAGCAATTTTTTCGAAATACATTAGAAAAATCATTGCTTCTCTGGACTCAATTGTATTATATTGATTATTAATTTATCTATATTAGAGTATCTGATGTAGAAAATAACTTTGACAATTATGCCATTGAAATTATTTTTGACTGACCTAAAATTATTTGTATACTTAATGCGTAGTTGAAGTTCGGAACTATAATGCTCTTTAAACCGTTAATTAATTTACTTCAATTTTGGTAAAGGAATTTAACACAAATTTTCAGTTTAAAAGAATATATTTTTTGAATTACGCAGCAAAATTTTTGAACAAATATGCGAAAATGGTATCGTCCCTTCTTTGCTATGTCGATTTTTGTTGAAAGAAAAACCAAAAGGCGGTAAAACGGAATTACTTTGAAGACTGAAAAAAGCTGAAGATGAGGAAATGTAAACAAAATTGTTTACGTATCCAACAATAAAACGCTTTACTTCCGAATAAAGCTCTAAAATTTGCAGTAAATGTCAAATGGTTTCCTTTTTCTTAAGAGTATACTTCTTTTTTCGAAAATAATTGATTTTTGTGTGATAATAGAAAGTAATTTCTCTTAACTTTCAGCTAATGGAAGTACAGGTATTTACCTGTAGGCTCTTGTATACGAGACAGGCGCCAAAATTTTTCGAACTGGCTGTATTCTTATAAAAAGAGCAAATACGAAAACACAGAAATGTTCAAAGATAATAAATTAAAATGGCTGCATCATTATCATAAGGTCGTCAGTTCTAAAACTGGTTGGACACGCACCTCCACTCTTTCCTATCCTGAGCAAATCTTCACATTTCCCTAAAACCAGAACATCCCACATCCTTAACTATTTGCGAACTAATCTAATCTAGGTCTACTTCTACTTCCCCTAACTCCTGTTTCTGCCTTTAGCATGTCTCTGACTAGCCTTTCATTCCTGCGAAGGTGTCCTACCCAACTATATCGCCTATTTCTCATTGACTGCCATAGAACCATCTGTTTTCCTATTCTTTCTAATACCTCTTCATTTCTAAACTTCTCTATCCACGGTATCCTCATCATTTGTCTGTAACATCGCATTTTGAACGCTTCTAATATTTTTGATTCTCCCGTGTCCATCGTCCATGTTTCGCGCCCGTACAGCGCCGCGCTCAAAACATACACCTCTTTCGAATTTCTAAATTGACCGTTCGCAAGCATACAACTGACTTTTTTCTATTGAAAGCGACTCGAAAATGGCTTATTACAAAACAAAATGCAGAAGAAATCAACTGACTTTAATCCTTTCTTTATCGAAACACAGGATTGTGAGTCCAAAATAATAACTTGATAAAATAAGCTGAAGTATCAGTTTCTGTGTCACTAAAGACGCTTTTGGTTTTAAATGTCTGGCGCCTCCACCATATCAAAAAGTCTGATAATAATAATGTAATACACTGTTTAATTTAACGTAAAAACCTTTTTTCAAAAGACGTTAAATATTTTGTTGCATAGGACCCTGCTAAATCCTTACGGAAAACAACCCTCTGACAAATTATTTGAAACTTTGGATTCTGCCAGTTCTCAACGTATAAAAACGAGATTTTCGATCTACAAGTCGAAAACTACCAGAATCCAAAGTTTCAAAGAGATCTAACGGGGTCATTTATGTAACGAATATAGCAAAACACTTTATTGAAAAATAGTCAATTTTTATTACTTCTGGAAACAGTATAAGTTGACCACAAAAAATTTTACGGGGCTTATCTGTTATGTAGTATCTTATTTCTTGGTAATTAATTTTCGCAAGTCTTTCGCTTCGAACACACCAGCAAAACAGGAAGTAAGCTATATGTATAAGCGGGTGCTTCATAAAATATAGCAAAGAGGAAAAGTTGTAACTAATTCTTTTATTAGTTGAGAAAGTTCACGAAAAAGCTGAAGGGGTTCTATCTCTCGTCTTGTTAAATGAAATTCGACGTTGTATCTATTTGCTTTGCTGTAAAAGGAGTTGATTATCTTCAGCTGTAGTAGACGTACCTAATGCCTCAAATACTGAATAGCTTTATGTCTATTTACAGACGAGTTCATATCTCTGCGACTACTTTATCTTTTCTGAACGGAGAGTTCGAAATTGAACCGGCCTACGGCGAAAAGCGAGAGGAAGCTTTGCGAATAGCTGGATTAAAGACCTACTTCATCGTCAGAGTTTTAAAACCCGTAAGTCAACAAAACAAGATTTTCAATTTCCTCAAATAACAGCAACTTTTACGTCAGTACCGCCCAACATGCATACGTTTAGCTAAAAGAAAGAAAGGCTCAAATAACGACCTTTACCATTTTACATTGTTACTTACATCTATATAAATACCTACAAACGATGTCAGACATCTAAGCTTAAAAAAATAGCTATCTGACAATATCATTCTGCGGTAGATATAAATAAATAATATTTTAATAATAAATC